TATCGTACGCTAAGTTATGAAAATAAATTGGAATGAAAGTTACATTTTTCAACTTGAAATTACAGGTCAAACATAATACATTTCTAAATTTACCCGTAAAATGACAGTGATCTCTAACTTTTATGGTATTGATAAAAGATCGCTTACATATTTCACAATTGCTAGCGTTTTGAAATCGATTTGTTTCTTCACTAGTTAAAGGATTAATTGCTATGTTTGTCTGATACAATTTATCTACTTCTTCTCCGACTTTTATAAGAGCTTCCATAAATTTTTTGGCAGCATTTTCACCTCTGTAAATAACTGGTTTTTTAGGTATTTTAAATTCATTAACTAATTCAGGTGGAATGGTTGTGTAATCAATTTTAACATAAAAGCCAAAACTCATCGGTTTGTGTTGAAAAGTTTTAATAGATTTCTGTTTTTCAGTTGACTGTTCCATAAGAGGTTTTAAAAAACATTCAAAATCTGCATAGATCACTATTGGTACGCGTTGAGTAGCTATATAATTTGTAAATTTGATTACAGAATCATCATGATCTTCAAGCATAACTGGTCTGCTTAATTTATGTTGAGAACAGAATTTTTTATGTTCTCGTAGTCCTTCAAACCCCCATAATTTATTCTTACAAGGTGTGTTGTTAAAAATAGTAAAACATCGTTTGCAGATATTTATTTGTTCTTTGTGTTTAGTTCTTTGAGACCTAATAAGTCTTGAAAAATTGGATATAAAGCAATAATGTTGTCGTGAAGTGTTGCTAAGTAAAAGTAAGTCAAAATGGTTTCGTTTTTCAATATCGGAAACTAGTATTGGATAAATTAATGATTTACTGTCTAGTCCATATATGTTAATGGAAACATTATTGATCTTTGCAAATTTTCTTACTTCTTTAATCGAAGTTGGGAATGTGATACACTTGAAATCAAATTTATTTTTAGTCTCTAAATAATCAAAATATTTTTTAGAGAATTTACTTTTATTATTACGCCTATCAAACTTAGACAATATTGCATACTTAAAACATTTTTCGTCGTTATTATTTATGTTAACTATAGCTCTTCTACCCTGAATTTTTTGTGGTAGAGGAATGTACGATGAACCTTCTAAAGGATTTACAACATTTATGCGTAGCTGTATACCATCAATATTTCGAAGAGACCAACCACTGCCTTTAGCAATAAATTCACTTTCTTCCTTCAAAAGTTTACCATATATATTATTCAACAATACTGTAAAATCGGATCCTGATGTTGTGAATGTGTTTTTTGTTTTAAACGAAATATCTTGCAACTCAGAAGTTAAAACATTTTCATACACACAATCCAAGTGAAGATTAAATTTAATTGAGTTATTTTTACACGCTTCCTTAATTTTTGGTAAAATAAATGTAGTAGCATATTTGAAAAAAAGTATAAAGTCTAGAAACTTTAACTTATTTTTTAAAAAGAAAGTTTTCGACCTGGACCTAAATCTTCCTATTTCTTGTAAACCATCACCAGTTGAACTCAAACGAATGTTTTTGGTAATTTTCATGTTTTTTTTTTTTTCAAACTAGAAATATAAAACCAAGAGTCACATAATCATATACAAATACAACAACAACAAAATTATTGATAAATTTAAATATTTTCTTTTATTGTTTTTATTATATTGTACATTTTTTTTATTATTTCTTCATCTAATTTATTTTTTATTTTATTTTTATAATTCTTTCTTCTCCTAGCATGTTTGCTAGGCTTGCCTAGTGCTTTAATTATTTTTATTTTTTCTTTAGGGTTTAATAAAAGTGTGGAAGTTTGTTGTGCCATACCTTAACAGTTTTTGAATGTGTTGACCTTGAGAGTGGTGAGGACTGTAACGATATTCTAAAAAAAAAAAAGAATCATAATGTTCATTCTTCATACTATTTTTTTTTTTAAAAAGACACTCAATATTTTCCATCCGTTGGTGACATAATTAAAATATATATTTTTTATTAGCACTGCTATCAAATAAATGACGGCGACTTAAATAAAAAATATATTTTTAAAGAGCACTACACAACTGGAGTAGAAAATTAGAACTGATAGCTTAATTTATGCATCCGTTGGTGACATAATTAAAATATATATTTTTATTAGCACTGCTATCAAATAAATGACGGCGACTTAAATAAAAAATATATTTTTAAAGAGCACTACACAACTGGAGTAGAAAATTAGAACTGATAGCTTAATTTATGCATCCGTTGGTGACATAATTAAAATATATATTTTTATTAGCACTGCTATCAAATAAATGACGGCGACTTAAATAAAAAATATATTTTTAAAGAGCACTACACAACAAGAGTACAAAATTAGAACTGATAGCTTAATTTATGCATCCGTTGGTGACATAATTAAAATATATATTTATATTAGCACTGCTATCAAATAAATGACGGCGACTTAAATAAAAAATATATTTTTAAAGAGCACTACACAACAAGAGTACACAATTAGAACTGATAGCTTAATTTATGCATCCGTTGGTGACATAATTAAAATATATATTTTTATTAGCACTGCTATCAAATAAATGACGGCGACTTAAATAAAAAATATATTTTTAAAGAGCACTACACAACAAGAGTACAAAATTAGAACTGATAGCTTAATTTATGCATCCGTTGGTGACATAATTAAAATATATATTTTTATTAGCACTGCTATCAAATAAATGACGGCGACTTAAATAAAAAATATATTTTTAAAGAGCACTACACAACAAGAGTACAAAATTAAATGTCTTTAAGTAAAAAATTATTACACTTACATAGCTAAGAATGATATAGTACTGTCGAAAACACTTCACTAGCAGGAGACGGTGTTTCCACTGGTAAAAGACGATCACAGACTGATGTTTAAAACACACGACTAGGCAGTATTTATGCAGTCGAAAGGAGGTTATTCTCCTCCTCATATTATAATTTTAAAGACATTCACAACATATACCACTTCTATAGTGTTATTAAAAAAAAAATTAAATCGACCTCGCTTGGAGAATATAGTTAAACGTCTATAGCAGTTAGGTTCCTCAAGGATTGTAACACGCAGCGAGTCGTAGGGTTTCTATGGTCTGTGGTTAGTTCATTGAATCGTATTTATAAATTTTTTTTTTTAGCTATTGTACAATGATTGTTACAATGTTACAACTGGAATGAATAAAAGAAGGTTAATTATCTTTCTCATATTATTATTTCGAAGACACTCTACATGGTATTATAAAAAACAGAATCATCCCACTCCGTACATATTTTCGATTAAGTTATTTTTACCATGCAAATTTGAACGTTAGCACTATGGTGGGATATTTTTTTTATTTGTCAAGATTGGTATAAAACGAGAAATAACATAAACATCAGAGTTATATTAACATTAGTTGTGTGACAGTACAGTTCGAATTTATTTTACAAACAAAATGTCAATTCTGGAACCATCCGACGAGGACTTCTTCGCAGTAAGTTAACTAAATAATAGTAATAATAATAATAATATGAATGATATAAAAAATGTTTTTAGGAGACCTCACAGAGAAATGATGAATCAAGCTCGTTTGATCCACCACAAGTGAAGAAACCCAAAGTAGTTAGCAAAAATATAAGAAAACAGTCAAAAAACAATAAAACGGTATTATTTATTTATATACTTTTTTTGTTTTTTTTTTTTTAAATAGTAAAATTATGTATTTTCAGTCAACAATTTTTCAAAAAGCGTTAAAGGATGCAGTTATTTTAGATGAAGCGAACTATGAAGAATCGATGATGCTTTTACGTGACAATAATCAAAAATGCGTCATTAATATTAAAACACCGAGTCCAACGTCTTTTATAATTATACAAGAATATTTGGTAAATGATGTATTAGGATTATCCTATAGTGAGAGGTGAGAATTTTTTTTTATTTTGGTACCAAAACGTAGCATAATTAATTTTTTTATAGATGGCGAAAAGTGAACCGATCTGCTAAAATTGGTCTTACAAATAATAAGGCGAATTCTAAAATCAACAATTTATTGAAAAATCTATTTGATGAATTGGGAGAAAAATTTTTATCAGATGAATCTCGCACAGTAAAAATGACAAAGGAATGATATTATTACAGCTATATCAACTATTTTAAATACATGATGGTGGAGGTTCTTTTCATAATAATAATATTAATATTGTATGGTATTAACGTAATGATATATTGTTAAGACAAGTTATATTTTTTACTTATATACCATTGTTTTTTTTTTCAGTAGTATAGCAGAGGTATAATACCACCTGCTATATTTTATATTAGTATCATTATAGTATTAATATAAATTAGAAATCATTGTTTTTTTTTTCAGCAGTATAACAATAATAATAATGGTGGAGAACATTTCATTATAATAATAATATTGTATGATTTTAACGTAACGATATACTGTTAAGATAAGATTATATAGTACTACAATAAAATATTTTAAATTAGAAATCATTGTTTTTTTTTCAGTAGTATAGTAAAGGTATATAATAATAATATTAATGTTTATTCACGTGTGAAGAAAGTTAACTAGACTCGAACATTACCCACATAAACCGTATAAACACAGATCACGCAGCGTATAGAATACAACTAACCACAGGGTTTCATTGACGCGGTGTGTCTTGTTCAATGAATCGTAGTAATTTTTTTTGTGTAATGGTTGCTATGACTCAAATGATTATATTTATTACAAGGCGAAACTGTTTCACTAAAAAGTAAGTGGGATTTTTTTTTTACTATCAAACTTAGTGTATGAGTAAGAAGCTGTTAGTTCAAAATGGACAGCGATTCCTATCCATCGTCTGCTAGAACGGTGAGGCGTTGCAAACGACGGCGGCGACCGTGTAAAATCCGAACACAACGGCGACGGATAGGTTCTTACACATCTCTTGAGACTGATACTACCGCATCGCGAAGTCGATCGGTAAGTGTTAATTCCAGTTCTAGTTTTTTTTCATTACCACCCCTACGTCAACGGTCGCTCTCGTCGACTTCATATTCTCCTTGGAGCTCGAGTAGCGACGTGAAGTCTTTTCATAGTAAATCAACACTGTGGTTGGAATGTAAGTTTTTTTTATTTAACCCATCGTTTCACACAGAGCACATTTTAAGGTTTTTTTGTACTATACAATTTTTTTAAAAAATAAACTTATAGTTTTTTTAATTTTTTTATTTTCTAATAATAGTAATTACAAAAAAAAAAACATATTATCAATTAGTAGTGAGTAAAAAGATACATATTTCTTTGAATGATTCAATGTTCTGAGTTTAACTAGTAATTAATAATAATGGAAAAAGTTTAGCAATCGTGTTCTTCAATATAGGTTTACCAACGATGGGTTAATAAATGAATATTAACATTTTTTTTTTTTACAAAATAAGTAACGTACTTTTTTTATTTAGCGGATACAGATGACGAACATGGAATTGGAAATTGGTCTACATCAGAACCATCAATAATTTCGCTAGCAGATTCATGTAAGTTAATTTTTTTTTTATTTGAAATAAAATAATATTTTCTTCTTTTTTTTTTTAAAAAAAAAGGGTCATCAACAGATGTTACTTATGAATCGGATGCAGACGTGTTACCTCCACTTCTGCGTCTTAATCAGCCAGCTATTGAAACCATTTGGCTAACTGATTCGGATTAATATGTAAGTTAGTTTAATTTTTTTAATTATTGTTGAATTAATATTATACTGTTTTTTTTAGGGTTTTTAGGGAGGTATTTATTATTGTTGAAAACATGAACGTTAGAGATCACTGTAAGCTGATTTTAAATTAGTAAAATAAAAAAATATTTCAATATATTTTTTTTTTTTAAAGGTTAACAGATAGAGTTGTTGGAAATTATTGTCATGTGTACTCTACGCTATGAGACTTAAATGTGAGTAATTATATAATATATATATATATATATAACACAATTGATTAGTTAATAGAATGTTTATTAAACACTTTTTTAAATTCACAATACAATTACATTATTTAATAAGATTAATAATACTTTAAAAATAATCCTCGTTCCTCAGATTTTGTTGAATTTTTTATTCTGTAAGCGCTTGGATCGACGAGCATCTGGCGTTTTCACAATTAATACTGAAATATCATTTTCTAAGTTTTGATTTAATATTTTAACACTATTTTTGGTTGCTTCAATAATTATATATTTTAACAAACGACACTTTCGACAGGAGCAGCATTCTAAATGTGAAGGCATTATGATACCTTCTTGTAAGACGGCTATTTCTAAACTAAAACGAGTGAAATATTTTTTTAAATATTAGCTTGTATACGTTTTCCCTCTCTCAATACATATATTTTTTTTTCCTTTTCGAAATTATACTATAGTTACTAGAAGTTCTCGCATAATCAAATTTATAATTTGATCATAATTAATTTTTAATTCATGGATGAATAACGCATTTGTATCCGTTGCAAACATTTGAAAATCATAGTTTGCGACAAAAGCCGTTATGAAATCGATACGTCGACATTCACTTGAAAAATTATTAACATCATTAAGTATAGCTGAATATATATCGTTAAAAGATTTTTGATACAACTCCAACTTATTTAAGCGTTCAGTTATATGTGCTTCAATACAATTTGAAATCATCTGAAGTGTTAACAAATTTATACGCGTCAATTTCATACGTTCATTTTTATTACGTAATATCACTGAATCTGTTTTAGGGTTAGTAGTACAACTAAAATCTGAACCTAATTGTATTCGCTTTGCATTGTTTTGAATTGTGTTCACAATGTTGTTGAATATTTGAAATTCCATCAGAGTACGCCACTGTTTTTCATCAAGAATTAGCTGGTCTTGACTATTTTTATAATCTAAATAAACAATAATAGATAATTTTTTATTTAAAAGAATACCTACCGAGATAGTTCTTTTGGGGTCAATGGTGAACGTAGATTTAGATAACACATTTGCCATTTTGTTTAAATAAAATTTTAGCATGCACATAAACGTCCGTACAACTTAACTCTATATTAACTACTTATATCTTTAGCATAAAGATGACGTATATATATACAAACCTTGAGTATAAAACATACCCCCTCTTCTACTTATTCCAGTGTAATTGACCAAATGGGTTGTGCAATTTTTAGATTCTTTACATTTTGTAATTCTTTTGTCTGGTGTAGAACTTCTTCAAAAGATTCCTCAAGTTTTGTTTTAGATGTAGATTTTTCTATATTTGAATGTTCAATTTTGTCTAATTTAATTATAAAATTATAAATAGCTTCTAGTAGACTACATTTAATACAAGGCATTGTGCTTGGAATAATACTTTTAACATCGACTGTACTACTATACGAAACTCTATGTACTAAACACTTGAAAAACATTTGATTAACTATATTAGCCCCCCCCCCCTCTTCTTACCGCTATATTTTATTTTTAAATTGGAAAAAAAAATGCAAAAAGTGTAGACGCAGTGACGGAATGAATTAAAGTATGACTCAACCTCAACCTACCTAGCCTAGCATGAGTGCTATCAATCCACATCCTATTAATTTATCCTAGAAAGTCACGCCTTAACCTACTACGCCACTGCGTCTACAATGTGAATTCATGGTTTTACTAGTATTTAAAGAGTTAATTTAAATGTAAGAATGTTGTAATAAATTAACATCTTTTTTTTATTTAATAGGTTTTAAAATCAATGAGGTGAACCCTTCACTAACCGAAGATAACCACAATCTGGAGACCATCTTGCATGCTCGATCCAAGGTTCGTCGTTCGGCTCCCAAGATCTCAGACCTTGACGACAATAAAAACATGAGACATCATCATTTGATCCATCACCAATATAAATAAAACCGGCTTCACTCATAAGTTCTCGCTTTGAAATAAGTAGTGTATTACTACATTTATCAAAAGTCTTGTTACGCGTTTTACAATCTAAATAGTCTAATGTACAAAAAACATCACATTCACTATTATAATCATCCATTATTATACTGTTTAAATTTAATTAAAATGACTATCATTTATTTGAAACATGTTTTTATATATGATTTATTTCTTCCACTTCTTATTTAGTAAAACACTCAATGTTACAAATAATTTTCTATACTAAACAATATATAAGGTTAAACTATAATTTGTAAAAATGGGCGGTAAAGCCCTAAATTACTACTACTTATGAAGTTGTATATGTTCTTGATGGAGATTTTATTTTTATGATTAAATTGGTTTTAATGCACGTGATATCTAGATGCATATAGATATCTATTTGGCGAGTATGTATGAAGGAGCTGTTTTGAAATTTACAAGAGGTTTATTGGGTGTCGTATATTATGTAGTTTAATGAATGTTGTAATTGTCGAACATTTATGTTATGTTACTTATTAATATTATTCAGTTGTTTTTTATCTTTAGGATTGATAATTTGTGTCGAAAAAATAATACACTAACTTTATTTATGATAAATAACATTTCATTATATCAAATGTGATGCGCGCCGGACAGCCGCTACACAGACACCTGTAATATGCTTAACGACAAAACCACAATAATTGATAATAATATGTTCTACTAGTACTTTGCAAAACGTTTAACAAAAAGGAAGCAATAATCTTAATCCAATTTATAACCAGCAACGAACACTTATTTAATTAACTTTTGCTCTAACTATTAATTAGCCAAAAAAATATAACATTACCGTATTTTTCTAATTGAGAGATAATAATATAGGAAATCAACACATTTCGCGTCCTTATAAATATAACGTGTCCAGTATTTCTTACTTGTTGTACGATTTTGCCATTTTGAAAATCTTTTTACACATAAATATAAAAAAATTGCTCACTTTGCTTTTTTACGTTATTAATTAATTTTTAACCTACTATTTCTATCAAAACTAAATGCTCTCAATTTGACTGCCACTCAGAATAGCGTGACAAGGAATTATTCAATATTTCAACGTCTGGTGTAGAGTACTACATCAGGATTCTTTCTTGTACATTTTAATATTTCAATTTTTTAGCTGATTTTAATTATAATAAATAAGCAATGTTTATGCTAAAATTAAGCTAAAATTTTTATATTTAACGTATATTTTTCAGTTTAATCAGTTTAAAAAAAGCCAGAGAAGTGGAATGGATTATTGTGGAGTTGTGTAGATCTAGTCTGGAAGAACTATTAGTAGGTATAATCACTCTAAAAAAACCTTTCGATTCAAATCTGTAAGTAAAATAAATATGTAAGTATTTTTTTTGTTCTATCTATTGTTGTGATATTAACAAAACAATCTGGATTAAAATAATCAACCAAGTAACGGGTTAAATTGTTTAATAATTAAACAAGTTGTTTGGTGTAGCATAACACTTAGATAAATAATTTGCAAGTTTGATTTCGGTGTTTCAACGTTTGAAAATGGTACGTAACGGTATAATTACCATCCCTGTTAAAAAATTAATTGAAATCGCGACGATTAAGCAACAGATATTTGGTTTTTAGACGGAGAACACAAGTGTGGGCAACGATGAGCCGAATGAAGAACTATTCGAACCGACAATTAAGAAGATATTTCTGGGGAACATAGTGAAGAATATCAGTAAAGAACTGGTATTTGAAATCCGGCAGCGGTTCTACGACGAGTCCAGCACCGGTAGCGTTACCGAAAAACAGCTGAGGGCCGTGTTGGAGCCGTACGATCTTAAGATATCCGATGAAAACTTCAGGGCCATGTTTGCCAAAATGGATCTGAAGAAAGAGGGGTTCGCCAGTTTTTTGCAGTTTGTCGCATACGTGGCGGTCGAGTTCGAGGCTTACCGTAGGCAGTTCGACATAATCGAGTTCCAACCGTCCAACCAGCCTGTCGTGTTGATATTGGACAAGCCCGTGAAAATCGTCAACAAACACAGGCGACCTATTGTAGGCGTCGCCTTTAAACCGCTTCTCGGTAAAGATACCGTGTCCACGTTTGTCGACGGTGAATACGTGACGGCCAGCTTAGACGGTATGATCAGCTTTTGGACGTTAGACATGAAATGGAAGAAAATTGAATGGGCCCCATCCCGAAATGTAATGTACGTACACTGTATCCCGACCGGATCGGCGCGTTGAACATTTAGAGACGGGTTGAAATTCAAAATCTAGCGTCCAATATAAGTCAAAAGTAGAGTGATAGGGTTTTTTATGACTGGTCGCCAAAACATTTCCTATGGAATCCCCTACTTGTTAAACTGTGTGTCAAAATGAACGCTTTCAGCTCTCCATAGCAATTTTGATTATTAAATATCAAGAAGGTGTTCACCAATGAGGAGGGCACATAACCGATAACTCCAGGTAGTGACTTATGCTTGCTTTGATATTCACTCGCCTTATTATGTTTTACGTCTCGCATGGCGTTCAGTATTAATTGTTTCTGGTCGCGCCGATTCGGAAACACTATTGTATAATAATTTTAAGAACATGTTATGTGGTCGACTTAAAAAGTGACGTGATGTTATATAATGTGTAGAAGCCTTGGTGATAATTGCGTACAGTAAACTTCGTAGCCAAGAAAAAGAGAGTCTTCTTAGGCGTGTAGCGCGTTCTAAGGTTTACTATGAAATTATGTTAAATTTTGTCATCAGGATATGTTCAGCACCAAACTCACCGCTCTTGTCGTTCTGCCTGACCTGAATATCGTCGGAGTGAGTACTGCGGAAAACGAACTACGCTTCTACGATACCTTGGCCGATCAATTTCGATTACGTGTGGTCATTGAAAACTTGCCCCACATAGTCACTTGCTTTTCGTACTACTACAAGAGAGACGCCGACCCACGGGAGTTCAGTTCTAGACTAATGTTCGGTGATTATAGCGGCGGAGTGCGTATTCTTTCGATGATGACCAGAAGTCGTGGTCCATTTCGGATGATATCGGGCGATGGTTATGTTATACACGACTACACTATTTTGCGGGCTAAGTACAAAGCGGCCACTGCTAGAGTTGCTGCGACGTTACCTTTTCACGTATTGGAGTTTCCCGACTTGCATACTTTCGACGTGTTGCAAGTGGAATTTTGCGATAACGGCACATCTATCGTATCCGTGTCAGAGTCAGCCACACGGTCGATGGTGTATTTCCAAGCCGTCGAAAATGGATGGATGCGTTGGTTCGCGTCGCCTCTGGGGTATTCGTGCGTTTGCACAATCGCCAACACCCATTTAGTCACTGGTAGCCGGGACTGCGTAGTCAGGGTGTGGAGCATTGAGAGCTTCCAAGGGACAAGTGCTACGACCAAACAGAGAAGCATCAACTTTACTGGACACAACGCGCCCATCATGCATGTGTTCTATAATAACAATAACAAGCGATTGTACTCGATATGTGCCGATCGCACTATCAACGTGTGGAGCGTGCATCAAGGCACGTGCTTGATGACTTACACCGGTCTTATAGCGCTCAGGCCCGACTTCAAGGACGTGTCCATCCTGTTCAATCAATCCAACAATACGCTAATCATGGGCAGCCGGTCAATAGTGGTTCTGCCGTGCGGTGAAAACATCAACCAGATGTTCACCGATGGATATTCCCACAATGCGGCCGTCGTCAAGACATTATACAATAAACTGTATAGGATTTTGGTATCGGTGTCCGCAGATTCGGTGATATCTGTCTGGAACCTGTGGTCTGGCGCACTACTTCACAAGACTCCTAATGCGCACACCAAGCAAATATTCGGCGAAACTGTTCCGGCAGAGATTACCGCAGCCAATTTCGATCCGTCTGGCGGTCTGTTGGTCACCGGCGCTGAAAACGGTACCATTCGTATGTGGGACCCCACTAACGGTACCTGCCTGAACAAATTAAGTATAGCGTCCAGGGGTCAAATATCTGAGATTATCTGGTTGCCTAACAAGGTATATATCGATACTAAAACTAGCCGTAATAGATATTTATTAATAGGTTTTTTATGACGACTATTTGGCATGTGCACGTGTATGTTTAGGTATTAGTGTCGAGTTGGGACCGCAGGATCACGGAGTTCAACGACCCACTGCTCGTGTCTAAGGGGAAATTATGGTTAGTTAAACACGAAGAAGCTATACTAACTATGTGTGTGAAGCTACCGTCAACGTTAGTTACGACGTCATACGGTGGTAAAATAGGTTTTTGGAGGTTGGAAACCGGTCAGCAAATCAAAACTTACCCGGTTAAAATGAAACCAGACTCGAAAGCGACAAGTCAGAAGAATAGCATGGCCAGCAAGAGCGTGATGAGTTCTGGGGGTTTGTCGAGTATGCAGTACCGAGCTGACGACAGTAGGTTGACGAGAACGACCCAGTTAAGTGGAATGACAGAGACCAGGGAGGCACGCATGCAGAGGCTCGGGGTCAAGTACACACCTAGAGAGTACTTCGCAGCAGCATGCTCTCATTTCCTTCGAGGCCGAGAGGATGGTAAGCGAATAGGTACGTTGCTTATAGCTACTCGTAACGGGGTCGTGCAGATATGGTCCACGTACAAGATACCGGCATACGTGGCTCAGTTTAAAGCGATTCACGAAGACGGTGACTATGTCACGTCAATGGCGTCCGATGACAAGAGCAAGTACCTCTTCACGTGCTTCACCACAGGCTATATAAAAGTGTGGTACATAGTCAATTTCGGTGTGATTGAAAAGCAATATATCAGTATGCCTCTGCTCAGACTCCGGTTCCCGTTTCTCATATATTCGTTCTTCGTTGGACGCGCTGAACGCAGTGTACAGAACCTAGACGTTTTACTAATAAGCTCGTACCAAGGACACTTGGCTGCCGTCAGACATATTGAGTACGTGCAGCACATAAAATTGGTGGTGACCAGCAGTTCTGATATGAGTGTTCGGTTATGGACAATTAACGGACATTACATAGGAACGTTAGGTAAGACAACCATCTATTTAAAAGAGTACCATTTTTGGTTTTACGTTTAATAGTATTTTTAAACTGAATATGATTAAATGAAATATA